TGTGAGGACAGACGAGGGAGGGCCAGACCAGGGTTCTGCCCACAGCTGCCCCCATCCCCTCTACCTACAACATGCAGGTATGGAACTGCGAAAGTGCTGGGCTTTATAGTCATAGTAGCCACACAATTTGTATGTCTTATTACGATACTGTGTAAAGGATGGCAATCCCCTTACTATCTTGCTTCTGCAGCTGAGATCCAAACCATCTTTGCAGCCTAGGCTTGCCTTGAGAACTGGACAAATATCCCTCCCTGAGCTTGCTTACACTATTTTCTCTGTCTTCAATGGCCTCTATCTCTTTACCCAAACTATCAAAACTGTAGTCTTCACAGTTTCCTTCTAACACTGGTTCAAACTAAATGCTCACTTTTTTTTGGAGTTCTCTTTGATTTTGCTACTGTCATTTTTATTTCTCTCCTTAGATTGCTACTTAGGTGTTTACTAATTAGAATGTAATTTTGGCTAATTTACTCTATTTTCCAAAACCCCCAGCATAATACTTCAATAAAGCTAACAGTAATACATATTTTCTAATAACAACACAATGATACTATTGTATTACAATAATTACTATTTGCAGGAGCAAATACAAGCAGGAGTCCTGCTGAACAAGTGGTAAGGAGTTGCACAGCAAAGGCATGTGCTTTGAATCCAACAGCTGCTCCACAAGAAAACGATGGACAATTTACTCTTGTGCAATTTACTACCTCTGAAAACCTGCTGGAAGATCAGCTATGAGTCAGTTTCGACTTGATGGCATTTATCAAGAAAAAAAACTACTATTTGTTGAGATTTGTTGAATATCTCCTTTGTGCTAGGTATAAAACTTATGCTGTTTAAACCCTATGGAATAGGTCTGTTTTGTTTCTAATTTAAGTTTATATCTGAGGAAACAAAAGATCAAACAGAAGTGAAGAAGTCTATCCAAAATCATATTGCCAGAAAGAAAGGAGAAATATAGATGGGATACACATCCAGGTCTGGCTGATTACAAAAGGAATCGACTTAATCACTGAAGTATATGTCACTGCTAAATTAAAGACTTACAGAAAACAGCATCAGGACATTGCTGCTTGTTCTTAGCATTAATTTTACACTTTAGGCCTTTAACATACTAAATGTCTACAGAAGCCATGCTTTTCATTCTTTACAAACTATGTAGAACTTCCGGACTCTCATGAGGGCACATTAGTAGCACTTACAAAGTAGGTGTTTTGACTTTTGGCCAGGAATTCTCTGTGATCATATCATCTAGACTTGCTAGTTTATATATGTATTTCTAAAAATGTGAAAAATCAACTAATACAAAGTAAAATGAGTCCTTTTCAAAGATAGAAGATACTCTAGATCAGTAGTCTTAGAACTGGAGTTCTTCTTGGTGATATCAAAAGAATTTCTAAATGTTTTCTGGGCTTGGTTCCTATTAAGTGGATAATTTTGCAGCTCCCTAACTTTAATTTTAACATTTTCCTGAAAGTGAGGCATCTAAGAATGAGTCTGTAATCTGCTAGTTCTTTTGCTTCTATAATCCACCTCTTCCTATTTTACCAAAGGTATATTTCTTACCTAACTTGGTACAACATTACTATGATGCTTTCTTCCTGAGGTGTAAAACTCCGAAGCAAGAGACATGAGGAGGTTTGGAAATGAAATTGATCCTGAATGTCAGAACTTGAGTAAACAATATTGAAGGAAGGAGGAACTTACTTCACACAGATCAATTTCATAGCAAATTTTGTGTTTTGGCTCTCACTTCTTCCTCTTATCATTGTCAATCCGTCATCTATCCATCTATCTTAGATTTTGGAACCGCCAAAGCTGTTAAAGCTATGTGTGCTGGCATTTTATCTCTCACTGCCATTGTGTCAGTTCTGAATTAAACAGTGACTATCTGTCAGGTTTCACGGGCTGTAAACTGTGACGGGAAGAGACTGCCATCTTTCTCCTGCAGAACAGCAGGTGGATTTGAACTGCTAGAGAGTGTAGGTTTTGGATTATCAGCATGACTTGCTGCACACTATGCCTCTAGAGCACATTTACTTTAATTAAGAAAGGCCACGTTAGGGGAGCTCTGGTGGTATAGGGGCAAGAAGCTGTACTGCAATCCCAGAGGCGCACAGTTCAAATCCACCAGATGCTCTGCTGGGGAAAGAGGGACAATTTCCTCCTGTACCAGTCAGATCTGATTTGACGGTACACACACACAAATATATATATATGAAGGCCACCTTATGGAAAATTAGTCTAATTTAGATTATGATTTAACAGTGAGACTCTTTCTGCCAAATGGATGGCAAACAGTCTCCATAAAATAAATGAAGTCATCTATAGCTTTAAGATTTGAGTGAAAACAGTGTTTAAAGACATAAAATAAACATGCTGGAAATGATATAATTTCTAAGTATTTATACTATGAAAAATACTGTAAATGTTATGCTAAAATGGGTCACATAACATTTTAAAATTCTTTAAAAAGTAATGCTTGCAAAAGATGTTTGAAGTCACTGCTCTATATCCAAAATTAAATATATACATACCTAAAATATAGTTTGTTAATGCTCTCCCCAAATACAGTCTGAAAACATCAAATAATTTTTAAGTGAAAGATAGCATTAAGACACATGTAAATCAACCATACATTTTCATGGAATTGAGTATCTGAAAATATAAGTGCCCCACCCAAGGTCAAGATTCAGTTTTTCCTGCATCATATACACACTCTCTCTCATTCTTTCTCTTTTCTTTCTGATCCTTTTGGGACTCTAGAGCATCAAAACTGCTTTTGGAGAGAGTTGCCAGACTCGGCCTTGGGCTACTTATCTCTAAGCAGTCATCTTTCTCCATAAGGCTTCAACCCTGGGCAGCCTGCTTCAGCTCTAACTATCTGAGCTAAGTGAAAGCAAAGCTTCACTTTAATCTTTCTGACCTCATGAACTCCAAGAGCTGATTAATTTCTCCAAACATAATAGAAAGAGGCACAGAGTTAATCCTTGGAAAACAGACTTTTCTCTTTCATTTTCACATTTGTCTTTAAATACATTTATGTATTTTGCTCTGTCCACCCCCCTTCAAATCAACTCTTTGGCATGAAAGAGGAAAAGCTGTCTTAATCCCTCAGGTGCGTGGTAGGCATTAATCTCTAGATATTTCTTAAACACACCTTCTCCTCTCTAACCTGACTACAGTTATATTTACCCAGGATATCACTTTTTTTTATGAAATTCTCTCACAGCCACCTGGCTCATATCTCTTGGCTATTCTTCTGTAAGATAGAGCTACAAAGTCAGATCTGATAATGCTGCTACTGGGCTCTGAAAGCTTTCAGAGGCTCCTTACAGCCCACTGGATGCATCCAAGCTCCACCAAAGTGTACAAAGCCCTCAAGTCTTTGTCTCTGTCTCTCTGTGCTCATCCCTCTCCCTCTCCAGTTTCTTGATATTTCAACCTGTTTTATGGTATATTTAATTATCTCCCTGTCTAGAATGTCCCTTTTTCTCTTTGGCTTGAAAAACCTTCTTCAGGTCTTTCTGGAAACTTCCTAACTCTGTGTTACCCACAACTCTCAACAAATTGTCCCTATTGCCTTTACTTCTGAGAGCTATATGAAGAGTTTCTCCTAAAAAAGTTTTGTGTTTCTAGATACTCACATGCCCAGTGAATTAAAATGCATAATCAAATAATATTAGCTCCAAACATCTGGTTTCCTTCAACTCCTTGGCAATAGTTTAAGAAAGTGATTTCAAAGTAAACTAACTCTTAAAAAGTCAAGGAAATCCACTACTGGGAATATACCCTAAAGAGACCATAAACGACATCCAAGCAGATATATGCACACCCATGTTTATCGCGGC